CCAGCACCTTATTGTTGGACAGCTTGCCACAAAGTGGCCCGCCCGACCACATGTCCAACATTTTGCTCTTTCCTTTTTAACTGGGTTGGCCTTGTGTCTATTCTCGGGGGAACCCGTCCTCTATTCAAGCGGTTCGCCCGTCCACTGGTCCAAGCTTTTATTTCTCTTCTTTTTAACTGGGCCACCCTCCCTCTTAATTCTGGGGTGGCCCGCTGGCTTTTCCCTGGGGGTCTCTTGGGCTCAGCCTTCTTTGTTAATATCGGTGGGGCACCCTTCCTCAGCCCACACCATTTGGCCAGGTGTCCTTTCTTACCACACCTGGTGCATCTGTCCTGATTGAAGTCTGGGGGCAACCCCCACTTCGTCGGACATTCCGCCGCCCTGTGGTCCTCGTACCCACAGGTCCAGCAGACCAGCCCATATCGACCCGGCGTGGGCTTATAAAAACCATGCCTGGTCGACCATGCCTTTCTATTGGGGTCTTCTTCCCATAATTCTGCCCGATCCACCTCTTCCTTAACCCTCTGATTCCACGCGGGTGATCTTCCGCCTACCCCCCGTCTTCCAGCCTCCTGACTTGGTATTTGCTTCTTCCCACACCTCTTTACTTTTTCCCACACGCCCTGGCTCTCCCTGGCCAGCTCTATTGCTGCCGACAGTCTCAGCGGTCCCTCCTTCAGCACATCGTGACGAACACGCTCGTCGCTCAGCGCCTCTACATACAGGTCCGCCAGTTGGGCCTGCATAACTGCATTATCTCTGACCACTTCGGGGAATGCCAACGACGATAGCTTCCCTGCTCAGGCCCCCCAATTCTCCCGGGTTTCATCCCGCAGCTGTGTCAGTTTCAAAAGGGCCCTCATGGCCTCTATGGCCGTGCCTTCGTCGGCGAATTCTTTAGTTAACAGTCTTTTTATCCCTTCCCAAGACAAGCGGGGTTGATTCTCCAAGAGCTCCTTCACGAACTCAGATGCTTTTCCCTTTGTGGCATTGTATGCCAAATACAGGGTTTCTTGGTCTGAAAGCTCGTAGATAATTCGGCTCTTCTCAAGGATTGCCAGCCAGTTTTAAATTCTTTCCCGCTGCCGTCAAATACTGGGACCCTCGGTCCACCTAACAGCTTTCTTAAATCAACTGACAACCCCTGTCTTACTTCCTCTTCACCCCCCAGTGCTCTATCTGAATCATAGTCTGACATATCTACAGAGAAAGACAATCTATGCAGCAACAATCGAGGTTGGGAAATAAAATAAGGTGTCCTACCTTACAGACGATTCTGTTCTTGTTCTTTTCGGTCCCGGGTCGTTTTGAGTCCTGTTTGAATTTTCAGCAACGGCGGTCGATCGATGTGATGTGACGTGGTTGTCTCAGGGTTGAAATCCTGGTCACGGCACCATATGTGACGGGGACACCTGGTCCAGGGTCGAAACCTTTGGTTACGGCGCCAACTGTGACGTCGCTCCTCCTGGTCGCTCTTCGCTGTTCCAAGCGTGCCGTTCCAACCCCTTGGTTAGATGATTACCAGCCTCGCCTTTCTCAACCCGCTTCCAACACCTGGTTACTAGGGTAACTGTACTGATCTCCGGTCTGTCTACCCACGTTGTGATTAGATCTTAGACAGACGGGATCAAACAGGGATTGGGGCCGTATGCAAGTTGAGTCCAACGGGGTTGGCAAAACACAAGTAAAAGAAAAAACTCACGAGACAAAAAATTACTGATAAAAAAGGGTAACAACCTTTTATATCTAATGTTCGTTACATAAAAATTGTTCTTACTTCCCGACCCGCTTTGTGGACTGTGGCACCAAGCTCCTATCATACAACTTAAAGACTTCGAATTGTCTACTCTTCAGAATTGTGTATGTCGGAGTGTGGTCTAGTTCGACACTGGGGCTAATCTCTACCAGTCGTTCACAGCTGATTCTTCTCTTCGCTTGAGTTGGACGTATTTCTTCACTTCGATTTGGTTTGGTCAAATTTCTGTTCTTGGGCTTGGTTTGATTTCAACTTCTTCTTCTTCCGTCCTGCAACTCTTTTCTGTCGACTGAGGTTGAACTGATTTGCTTGTTTGGCCTGCAACTTTACTGCCTGTCTGAGGTGGACCCTTCTTCGCTGCCGTCCGGGGCTGAACTCTCTGTCGTCCGAGGTGATCTCTTCTCGCTGCCGTCCGGGGCTGAACTCTTCTGCTTATTTGGCCTGCAACTCTTGGCCTGTCTGGCCTGCAATTCTTCCCTGTCTTCTTGTCTGGCTTGTCGGCAATTCTTGGCCTGTAGCTCTTCTTCTTGTCTTCGACTTGGCTGCAACTTCTCTGCGGCTTTCTTCGGGCAATCTTCTTCTTCTTGACTTGGGCTGGAAGGATTTCTTGTCTTAGGATTCTCTTGCCGCAAAGGGGCGAATGAACCGGGCCGATGCCCGCGTTCCAACTGCTCTGGCCGTCTACCCCGCAACTCATTTCTGTCGACTGGGGTCCTGCTTTTATTGATGCCGCAACAAACTGGGGTGGGTCTGTCGGCGTCAGCGTTTTCTCGATAATTCCAAAAGTCGCATTATTTCTGACTTCCCATTATCGCTATTATTTTCACCCCTACTTTCTCACAGTGCCTCTGGTGGGGAGGCACATACCCATCTCTCCCGGTCTCTCGTATGTCAGGTGACCGTTTTCGACCAATGGGTCTTGATCGAGCGTCCTTTCTCCTCTTCTCGCATATCACGTGACCGCTTTCGGCTAATGAGATTCTGGTTGGGCGTCTCCCGTACTACGTGACGTCTCCAATCGGGCGTGGCTTATCCCGGCTTTGTTTCTGGGAAAGAATACCTTGCTAAAAAAAAAAATCTAATTTGGCCTTTTTTTGCACGCACGAAAAAATGACAATCTCGGCCCTTCTCCCTTTCTGGGTCCTGTCAAAACAGTCCGCCGCTAATTAGATGTGACTTCAGGAAGAATTTTTTTTAAGTCTTGCTGGCGCTTTCTGTGAGCCCAAAACAATTGTTTTCACCTCTTTGTTTTTGCTCAGACCTGATAGTCAAAAATCTTAATTATCTGAATTGAAAATGTCTTCACTTCATCATCGTGGGAGTTCTGATTTTTACCAGGTCAGACTCTGTATACAATTCCAGCGGTCACCTCCTCATCCCAAAAGACACTTTTCCCCCGATTAATATTTCGTTTCCATTGTTCTAAAAAATCCCATTTCTCCAAATTGATAATGAGTCTTCTACACAAAAGTAGGCCAGATGCTTCGACCGACATTTTTATCAATCGCACATATGTTCATACACTTTTACCAAGCCTGTTTTCTTTCTCTCTTTTAATGACTTTTCATTCTAAATAACAATTCCCATTGTCTTCCGAAATTCGGTCAAACACGCTGGCCTAGATACCTTTTTGACACCTGTTTTCGCTAATGACCGGCCTTTTGCATTACTCATCCTCTTTCTTTCTTTTCCTCCCTCTCTCTCTCTTTTTCCTTTCCTTTTTTTCTTTTTTTTCTTCCCTTAGGATCGCCTAAGTACAATTTAGAGAATTATTCTCGAAACTCAATTATTCTTCGTCTAAAAAACTAACAACTGGTTAATAATAAAAAAAAAATTAAATCATATTTCTATGAATATTTCTTTTTTCTAATAATGCAGGGTGCCACAAATAACAGACCAATTGATTTACAATGCAAAGATAACATTTATTAGACAAATTAATGAAAGGAAAGTTTAAAACACGAGCTTCTTTTGTTACATGTAAATTGTATATGCAATGAAATATTCATGAATATGTTATAGTGAGAACTTTGTGTATTTTTAGGTGAAGCATTCACAGCCCTTTTTGTTTCAGCATGGAAAGTTCATGACACCAGTTTGAAAGACGAAAAAAACTGAAATGAGCAAGAGTTACTTTACAATTCACATGTTTTTATATTCAAGAGCTGCTGCTGATAAATTTTATTTTAGAGCTGCTACTGATAGGTTTATTTAGGGCTACTACTGCTACTACATTAGCCCATGCAGATCAAATAAGACCACAAGACAAATACAATGATATGTCCATGGATACCTCAAGTAATAGTGCTGAACACAAATGAAACCTACCCTTGTAGGATGAAATGTCTGAAGATGAACATAGAAATGATCAAGAGGTACAATATGATTCAGAAACTGAGGAAGACTAGTCAGTGCATGAATATGACCATGATAATGAGAGAAAACTAGATGCATCAACACCTCCTAGAGAAAAAAAAATACCTTAAAATTCCAAGAGAGAAAAAAAAAACTAAAAACAGATTGATAATTAGAAGCACAAGAAAAACTAGGGGCACAAACTCCTTCATTACAGGGAGATGTAGTGATATGTAGATTAACCAATTAACATAGCCGGAATACCCATGCTACTCTGGTAGGAGGAGAAGGCGAATTATGCATGAGCATTGAGTAGTAACACAAAGGACTTAAGACTTCTTAACATGAACTTTTTGTATTATTACTGTTGCTTTGCCAAGTTTTGACTTGCATATATATTGTTTGCTTAATATCATTTTGACCTGGTTTTTTCTTCCTTATCTTATTCTTTATTGAAACATTTGTCAATTCCATTTGTTGAGCATTTTGCCAATTACTCCACAAGTTCATAGTCATCCCCAATACTTACTAATTAACAAGATTGCTATTTTTTTGTTACAATAGTAACTGAGTCTCCAGCAAAATGCTGGAAAACAATGCAAAAAAAACTCTTATTACTGAAACAAAACTCTTACACAGGACAGTATGCCATTCAAATACTGTGTAGAGACCTAATAAAGAAAAAATAAAGTATTATAATTTTTCAGTTTATTCTTCTCTGACTTCAAAAAAATACCACTATTGCTGAAATCTTTTTTCAAAAAACGGCATATTTGCAATATTAAACAAGGTAAAAAGTTGTGTCTCCAATGAATATCAACATTACATTTTGCTTCTTTCCTTAAAATGTTTCTCTTTTTATAATTTTTTTTTTTTTATTTCATTACAGAAAGGGGAAAATGGAAAGACATCATCATCGTCAGGCAGCTACATTGCACTCTGGGATCTTCGGACACCATCAAGACCTTATAAGTAAATAAGTCTTTTTTAATGTATTCTATCTTGAAGTACTTTCTTTCTGGTCTTGACTTAATTTTGTTTTTCTTTTTGAAAATGGGATCACTTCCAATTTCTTACACTAAAGCTATAAAATAATTTGTTTTTAAATATCATTTTATTTAAAACAAATAACATATTTTCAGGTACATATGTAAACTTATATTTAATTAAGATTGGGTATAAAGATTATATTCATTGTTTTCATTTTGGAATTCTGTTTCCCAGCTCATGCAGATGCATATCTTTTATCAAAGAAATATATGTATTCTGACTCACAAATATGAAATGAATGCTCCTACTTTGCAATTAAATCACTGTTGACCAGTTAATATATAAAAACCTGATTAATGTAGATTATCGTATATACTTAAGTATAGTGTGAGTTTTTTATGATCAGTTTTTTACACAAAATATAGGGTGCCACACTATACACTGGTAATTTTTTGAAGTGGTTAAAAATCCTGCATTTTCAGTGACCAGTTTCACTACATACAGGTAATTTTTTTTCTGCAAGGTTAAAATTCATGCAAAAAATTCAATGGTCACATTATACATAAAGTTGGCTTATGCACAAATATATATAGTAAAGGCTCTGAACTTTCTTTTAACAAATTTCTTCCAAATTTGAAAAGTTAAAAGTAATGTAAACTGATCTCAAAATATGCTATTTTCATTTTAAATTTTTTTACAGGTTATTCATTTTAGTGTTTTTATTTATTATTTCTTTAAAAATATCCAGAAACTTCATGTTTATAAATTATACCAACAAATACTAATATCTGACCTTAGATTTAACACTAAAATTCAAACTCACTCTTTCCCATTTTCTTTACTTTGAATCAGTTTTTTACTTTCACTTTTTCAGGATTTTGTTTTCTGATTCAGCAATTAGTTGTTGTTTTGGATCTCTTAAATCACAACTTGTGTTGGCTGGTTGTGTAAGTATTTCTACTTTCAATTTTTCAAATAAACTCATGTAAAGAAATAAACATTTTAATCAGTATTTTGTAATGATATCTTTATTTTCAGAACACAGATGTAAGGCTTCCCTAGAAGTAAGCACAAATAAAGTGCCCCACCTATTTCTTATCAGATCATGTGATACTGTCAGTTCAGGAATCATGATATGTGTTTGCTGAATTAATGAATTCATAAAAGATTGAGTGATCTTAAAAAATGATAAAAGTAATAAAATGATGAATGGGATCAACTAAGTTTAATATCTAGATATGTTGGAAATCAAAATTTAAATGTTGAGCATCTCTATATCTTTAATTTTTCAATGTAAATTGTAACCATAGCCTGTGGTATATTTGCCCAAACATTTTTCTCCTTTTTTTATATCGATTCTATCAATAAAATCATTATTTGTATGAAGTTTCTTCTCTGAGCAAAATGCACTGATACTCAGTTTTCTGTCTTGTCATTCATTTACCCACTATTATTTTAATCTATATAAAATCTTATATCTTTCATATAAATTATTGAAAATAGCAAAACGAATATGCAATAATCCCAGAACTCTGATAACGACAATAGTTATTTGATATTATTTAGATTTTTAGAGATTATCCCTTTTTGTTTAATCTTTTATTTTAAAGCATTTCTCTTGCAAATTTATGTGCAACATTTTCTATAATGTTTGTCTTCTAATCTGTAGATATTATTCTTTACATTTATGTCTGTAGAGAACAATATTTGCATATTAGAAGACAAACATGTATGTTGTGTTGAGCTATTGTAGGTTTGATTGGTGGATTTTACAAGATATTAAACCTTGTTGGGTTATTTAATGTTGAAATCTGTTTTTCATTATACTTGAGTCTATAGGTAAACAATGGTTGTCTTTTTACCCAAGTATACAAGCAAATGTTGGTAGGGAGATTTACTTGAAAACCACCCCACTGAGTCAGGTTGTGACACAAGGTCAGTTTTTAACGTGGGGACCCAAGTGTTTTCACTCAAGCAGCTGGTCTAAGTGGGTCATAGCTTGTCTAAGCTAGTCATAGCTGGTCTTGGCTTGTCATAGCCATGATACCACCAGCACAGGGAGGGAGCCCTGAGGCAGGTAAGTGTTATAACCAACTTGAGAGAGTGGTTTGAAGCAAATGTTGGTAGTGTTCATACCTGAGTCCACAGTCATCCCCCTGGTAGGTGACTCCTTCTTGGGCATCTCACATCTCCTCAGAGGATGTAGTTGGCATATTCTAGGTCCTGCCAATATGGTAATGTGTTGTGCTAGAAGAATTCTTTTTATAATAATACTAAATTTATTAGGTTTATATAAGTTTTCAGCATTTTTTAACAAAATCCATAGCATCACTATTCAGTCATTATTTTTTTAATATTTGTTAGCAGAGTGGGGAGGTATGAAGAATTTGATCATAGGTCTTCACACCTACACTGTGATTATTGATCTGAGCAAACCTTCCCCCAGTAAAATCATCTCCCTGCCTCATCCATTTGCATTACTCAAAGGACCAACAAGTTATTCTTTGTTCTCTTTGCCAGTGATGATTGATGCAATTCAAAAGCCTTTTGTACATTGAACCATCTACTTATCAAATAGAAAAAGAAACATAAGCTCTTGTTCCTACTCTATTCTTAAAATTTGTTTTATCTTCACTTTTATGAGCCTAACTGATGAAAGACTTTAACAGGTTAATGGTGTTCTTGGAAAGAGAGAATATCTGTCTTGGTTATCTCCAGTCTCCAATGACCATAATAGGCATTAATTTATATACTAACACCTTAACACAATGGAAGGACCAGAATAACTGAGAGAAATGAATGCCAAATATGCATTGTGCTCAAAAATATTTTATATACAGATATGTTACACAAGAAATTATATACAAATATGTATATACCTGTTACTATTTGTCCCACACAGATCTCCTGACATCATTTGTTATATACAGCATATGGTTGCAAGAGAACAGACAGAAACAAAGTACTGCCAGGAAAGTGGAAAGAAAAAGAAACAAAAAATGCTAAAATAAAATTCTCTGTATTGCTAATATAAACAATCAATGTTGAATGTCTCTTGTGGGCAAGGAAAGCAATCTGAAAGATACGGTTGTCAGTAGTATACAGGCTTAACATTGAAGCTTGTGTCAGGTCAGATGACCCAGGGCTACTCGTGAACTCTATGACTGCTTGTCTGCAGCCTTGAGTTTCAAGAACAGGTCCTTTTAAGCAGTCAAGGTGGATACATGACTCAGCATTTTCTCTAATGCTGTTGGTTTTGCAGCAATATTCATGATTAGTGCCAATGTTTAAATTGTACTTTATATTTGGTGGAGAGGTATTTGTTTCATGAGATGGATGCAATGCTCAGAGCCCCTACACAGTGACTTTATCATTTTTAATTCTGTTTTTGTAGCATTCACATCCAGCTGACATGTTTTGATAATAGTGTTAATTAGAAAAAGATCTAATATGAAGCAGAGTATAACAGCATTGATAAAGAAAGCGGTATAAAAAAGTAAAAATTCAAGATCTTACTTGTAATATTTTCTGGAAGAAAACATCCAGGCTGGGTGATTGTTTTATCTTCCTCATTTGGGCCATGTGGTTTCTATTTATTCTCATTACTTCCATATGACATCTACCTTCCTCACAGCTTATGCAGCAACTGCTGTCAGTTATCCCATGAGCTGTTGTCATTTCCAGGCCATAACATGACCCTCATAAATTTGTCCTACCAAAAGGTAGATAATTGCCCTCTACAGTCCTACAAGGTTATTAATGGCCATTAAACTTGGCTTATCCCTTTCCTCTGTTTTCTACACAATTACTTGGCTTTTTACATGGATTATTTCTTCTTATCTTATTATTATAAAATCATTGGGTAGTAATTGGCCAGAAGTAACACCTCAATTCTTCCTAGACACACAAAGAAAAATGGTTTAGCTTAATGAATGACTGGAAATCAGCAGCCAAATTTAGTGGCTTTCTGTCTTCATCTGTGGTAGATGAACTCATTGTGATTATTTATGAACAAAAAACATTTCTTTTAAGTTACATGTTGATTTACATATGTACATAGTAACGGGGGAGGGATTTAAGTGACTTCATCCTCCAGGTCGCATACCAAAATTTTGGCCTTAGACAATTCAAGGTAGAATGGGAGTGTAGTATTAAAAAATAACAACAGTTCATAAATAAATTTTAACTGGTTTATCTCAATTGTTACTTTTCTACTAGAAAGTATGGAAAGATGGGTTGGTGTTCCTTGTTTAAAATCTTACGTCCTGAGTTCCAACCTTGCAGGAGCTAATTTATTGCAATTAAATGCTTTTTGCAATTAATTCTTTTAACTTTATCTTTTGCTATATATATATATATATAAATCATAATTCATGCCAATTGGCCTTCCAACAGTGCAGCTGACACACATCTTGGATAGCATTTTATCAATCTCCCTTGGGTATTTAATATTTCATATTGTTACCTGTTATGATAAAATACACAATTTACCTAAAAGAACAATTCCAGTTTTGATTTAACGAATTCCTTAACATCTTGAACTTGTTAAAATCACTGACCAGACAAGTTTATATGGAGGAAAATAAATGATAGTATGAAACTGTTAGAACTGGAAAATGTATATGGAAGAAATTCCCATCCATGATTATTTGCTGCATCATACTTGCAACATGAGGATAGTCCATGTCATGCAGCAAAATAACCAGTCAATTTCCCTGCCAGAAAAATATTTTTTCTCTTTAAATACATCATTCAAATGTCATTTGCCTATTGTGCACAGTTTCCAGCAATTCATAATAAAGAATCATTATTTTTTTTAATTCCACTAAACACAGTAAATTCTGCTTAAGGTGAGATGTTGAAGATGCTTCTAGATCTAATCATAATTCTCTTCATTTTGGTTTCTCATAATATCTCCATTTTTCATTGCCAGTTATTATTTCTCCTATGTTTTCTTTTGCTCTATAAAGCAAAAAGAAAAACAAGTTGACCAATGGTTTCCATTAGTCCGTGTACAACCCAGTTTCTTAGCTTTCGAATTGTTCTAAATCCTGTTCCCCCTCCAATAAAAAGATGACTAAAATTCAAACAATTTCCTTAACATTGTGCAAAGGATAGTGGTGTTAATCTCCACTTCAAACAATACAAGCTTCTTAATAAACTGTACATATTTATTTATATAAATGCTTCATGTAAAAAAAAAATTACCTATTGATCTATCTTGGTATCTCTGTGTATGTTTATAGGTGGATGGTGCAATTGTTGTGTGGGATCTCCGAGAATCTGAATCATTGCACAAATGTGTTAATTTGGATGACATAGAGTATTGTATACGTTATCCTGCATACAATACAGGTATGTATATATATATATTTTTTATTATGATCATATTGTATGTAAAAACACACACACACACACACACACAGTGATGAAAAGTTCCCAGCTTAATGCACTTCACAAAATATGATCAAACATCAGATTTTGGAGAAGAGCTTCTTGTTTGAGTCAAGAACTTCTCAGCACACTCTAGGAGATGTGTGTGTGTGTGTGTGTGTGTATGCCCACATATAAAAATTTCACAAAGACCATATTCGTCTTTTTTGTGAAATAGTAAAACTTTGAACTCCCCACCACATCTAAGTTCTTGTGCCAACACAAAAATCTACTTAGTAGGAAAAAGGGGTTACAGTTTAGTGTAGGAAAAGACATAGATTCAATGACAAAAAAGATTACACCTTTTAAAAATGAAAAAGAAAGAAACTTTGAGGAAGTAAAAATGCACAAGGCAGAAAATACAAAGTGCACCCACCTAATTTCTAACTGAATAAGAACATCTCGGCATGAAAGAGTTTTGTGTTTTCCACAGGTTGTTTTTTGTGGGCTTTATGTAGTATTTTACTGGAAAGTTAAATTTGAATGTTCATTTTGTTTAAATTCTTTTTAAGACACAGAAAAGAATTTTCTGGCTTGGGAGTTGAATTTGCCTTGAATCTGTCAGCTCTTCTTTCTTTTGCCGTGTTAATATATGACCCCATCAGCTAGAATAATCTTCCATCAGGGGCACTAATGCTTCTTTCTTAATGTTTAATTGCTTTCTGGGCTTATTCACTAATAGCAGTCCTTTTATTGAACAATGCATTGTCACATTGGTTCCATCAAGTTCTTCACATGCACATCATTGACCAGTAAATATGTAAACTTATTCAAAACATGAATCCATAACAATTCACAAATAATCTGGGTGGTTCTTTAACCACTATTTCTAAAATAGATTTCCATACAACTGTAATAATTTATTTTTACAACCCATTTATCTTTAAAAATACACTTTTCTCAAAGGTATGTGTTAAAAAAAAAACTTTAGACAACTGGACTGTTATTTACTACACTAAAGACTAAGTAGTAAAAAATAAAAGTTTTATAATATAAAGTGATTGTAACTGTTTTATGCCCTTGGTCTTTTTTATTACATTTATTTCATAATTTAACTTTAATATTCAGTTTTTATTAAAATGGCATTTTCCAGATCAAAATTGTGGTCACAAAGATTTTGACGCTACATAATTGCATTGAGTATGTTGTGCCATTTTATGTTTCTTTTTATGTTCATATATTCTTTTTTTTTTAAATCTCAGTATTTGTGGGGTGGGGGCATTTTTTACATTTTATTTAGAGACTTTGGCTTCTCATGTAAAATTAACTCTGTTTTACATTGATTATATCTTTTAACTGTTTTTGATCATTTTTATGTTGAAATTAGTTAAATTTCTTTTGAACATTATTTAAGGTAATATAATGAACTTAGTATTTTTGTTGCTGTTTATTCTTTTAGTTTTGTAGATTTTGTACACTTTTCTTTTGGCATTGTAGATGAAATAACTTGGATAGTTGATGAATTTTAAAAGTATTTTCAATGTATTTTTTCTTCATCAGGTAGATATTTGAGGCTACAAAGGGCTCTTCAATCAAAAACCTATAATTATTCCAGAATTTTATCTTATTGTTGTAATGTGAGTAAAGATTTATCTGGTTGTTTTATTTGACGACTTACAGTAGACATATAATTTCAAACCGGTCTAAGTTTAAATTAACATAATATCAAGAAAAGATTTCTTTTCCATATGTGAATTCAATTGTAGGTTTGATTTTGTTTAATTTATTCAGGAGTTCTAGTAATTTACTATTGTGTAAAGTATCATCTATATAGTAAAAGTACTCAGCATTTTGAGGTTAGATATTTTGAAATGGGCTGTATTCTAAGAATTCTAAAAAGAGGCAAAAGCTAAAACACTGCTAATAAAAGAATTCATAAGCCAAAATTTTGTTTGTAAAAACTATTATTAAATATGGAAAAACATTGGTTTGTTCAAAGTTGACAAATTTTCATGATTTTGCTGATCTGATTTTTGCTGATTTTTGATTGTGAAGTTTTTTTTGTTTTGTTTTTTTTTAGAAAATTTAAGCATTTGTCAACAGGTATGTTAGTATATAGTGATTTAATATCTAAGCTAACCATGACTTTATTTTTCAGATTTGTGTTTTTCAATTTGTTAATAAGATTGGCAGAATTTTAAGGTGTGAAAGACTGGTTGTATGCATTCATAATTACAACTACACCACGGGGAAGTTGATTTATACATTCTGGGTTTTGAATAGAATTTTTAAGTATTTTCTTGATAATATTGTTTTCTTTTCTGTTGCTTTTAAAATGACAGTTATAATCACTGAGTCAGTGTCATGTTATCTGGATTTTTTTTTTTTTCACATTGACATTTTTGTTGCAATCTTTAAAAAATAATTATGAAGTGAAAAAATAAAAACCTAGTTCAAATTAGTTGAAATCTAATTTAATCTCTATAATAATTTTTCATGAATAAATTTATTTTAAGCTTTAATCATTTATTATCAAATAAGGGAGGCTACTTTCTGGAATTATGCCCCTTACATTCTCCAATTTAAACGAAAAATTAGTATTCAACATTACATCATGGAGTTATGGTTAATGAACTTCACGTGAAATTCAAATAGATGGTATGATTTGAATAAAAAGGATGACTGAAATTTTTTTATAATTTTCAATAACAAAACGCTTTTTCCTAGAATGTACATAGCCTAAATTAACAGTTAGAAAAAATTTCATGAATGATAAAATGTGTTGGAATAAAGACATCCAATGTAGGATTTTCTCCAAAAAATCATCTTGACCTATTTTATATGAAACACAAGGGTAGTCTGATGAACCATTACTGCTAAGTAATAAATTTGATCTTCATTAGGTGCCTCGTATTTTTAGCCTTTTTATCAAAATTGAACTAAGCTCAATAAATAACTACATATCATTAAGGAGTATGAAGAAAAAGGAAAAAATCTCTTAATCTTATTAATGATGATGATTATCACTTATTTTATAATTACAAACTATAATAATAAAATTATATACTAAGTTCATTTCTTCTTTTAACCACATTATCTTATCCTAATTTAATAAACAAACAAACCTTTGGTTAATAGATTTTATTTCTAGTCAAAGCCTAAAACTGGGTTATTTTGTTCATTTCAGTCTTATTTTTAAGGATATGTGCTTAAATGCAATCAAAAGGTATTCATATACAATGATGTTACTTTATATAAGTTATGATTATTTTCTAAATTTAATGTTAATCACAGCTAATTCATTTTAATTTTTAAATGCAATGAATAAACACAAGAATAAGGTTTAATCATACAAGAAAAAACAATTTTTACCATATAATTGTATTTCTTTATTTAAATAACTACAAATTTCTCATTAATTCTTTTATAATATTAATAAATTTTAAATTAAGGTATATTGTCCTTTTAAATGTCTATAATTCCTGGTTCATGATTGTACCTCCATTGACATTTTCTTTTATATATTTCAGCTGGTGTTCTGTCTTTTAACTCTCACAGCAGCATTATCCAAACAATTTGTGACATTCCATTACAAGTAGGAAGGTAGGTCCAAAAGCTTTATCAGTTGATAACTAAAGTAATTTCAATTTCATTCTATTTCATATGTCTCATATTTATTTCCAAACAGAACTAACAATTTAAACTAATAATGTGAATGCCATGACCAACTGATTGTCAAGCCACCCTCATCTTGAATTTGAAGAGAACTTAGTTTCAAACATTCGATGTCTTAGAATAATACACAAGGCAGAAGAGGACTCAGTAGATTGTAAATTTTTTCTTGAATTCCCTTATAAGGAACAAACCCATTCACAAATTATAAAAGACACTCAAAACTTAATTTGTGGTTAATTTGTCTCTTCTGCTGTTCATTGAGGATTTTAAAATATTCCTTCTTAAAATTTTTATTTTATTTTTCTTTTCATAAAGTTACTTTCTTCATTTGGAAACCAAAAATTTAAATATTTTTATTTAATTTCAAATATACATATTGATACAGGATAAAGAAAGAAAATGAAAAAAAAATTACATAACTTGATTCTATTTTTTTTTTTTTTTTCAGAGAAACAGAAACATTAGTTCAAAAAGAAAGTAAGTTTACAAATATTTAATCTTTTCCATTCTTGTCCATTCTTTTTTATTAGAAATATCAGTTTCTACTTTATTCCCATAAATTAATAACATTAAATTAATCATTGCATGAACGTCCTATAATTCAAATGTTTTAGAAAACAGAAGCAAAAACATCACCTATTGTCAAGATATTGAGACTCTAAACCCCCAAAAAACTTGTTTTCATTTTTATTATTGGTTTGTCCTTTGTTTGTTTTTTTTTTATTCCAGAAAGCAAACATTTGGTATAGTTTACATACAAGAGAATGCTGAAAAGTTCTCTGCCTAACCAAGAAGAGCTTCTAAAGACAAAAAAATTCTACTTTGTCATTTGATACAATGTTGGGAAATACATTGGACAAAGGACTTCTCATATTGCTGCTACGAATATAATTCACATTCGTATTATAATCACTAAATAAAGGAGTTCTCTGGATAGGGTTTCATTCGTCAATCCTTAACTGTTAGATTCAAGGGTTACTTAACTAAATTTAATCATCATTTCTGGGTTTTTAAAGGATAGTGATTGGTGATTATATAGGCACAAAGCAATTTATTACATCTTTCTGATTTTAAATGTGAGCATAAAGAGCATCTATGATTTCACTTTTGTATTTTCAGGCTTCAATACAGGATTTTCATGTCAGTTGCTCAGTATGGATCAGTCAGGTCTAGTTAATTTATGGGTAAGTAAACTTTATATAGGATTGACTAATATCAGTTTTCTTTCACAATAAATATGGTAGATAATATTACTTTTTAAGCATTTCACCCTAAGCAAAGTGGGAGTGCCACTAGTACGCAAGAGGTTACAAAGAGTGAAAGTAAGAAAAAAACTGTGAAGGGGTATTGAGAAAAGGATAAAAAGGAGAACTGGGTTCAAGACATCAGATATTGATTGACATTACATTTAAATTTTTGAAGATTATAGTTATCAAGGGAGCAAGTAAGAGGAAGGGAGTTCCACTTTCAGGAAGTGCAAGATAAGAAGCTGTTGGAGTAGAAGAGGTAGTTACATTTAACTGTTGCAACAGTAAATGATGGGACTGAGATGCCAACCTAGTAGCACACTTAAATTTATGTAGTTGAGGCACCAGTGAAAACAGCTCATCAGAGCAGTTGCCATGAAAATATTTGTAGAAAAGACAGAGGGAAGCCACATCACATCTGTGAGAAAGTGACAGAATTGAGATGGCAAGTCAGAATTGATCACATTGCATATGTTTTTGGATTTTGTCAAGAACCTCCAGATGAACAGTGGGGGCACCAAACCATTTATGGCAACAGTATTCATTGCAAGGATGAATGGTAGATTTGTAGATGTGAAGGGTGAACTCAGATGAGAAAAACATTCTGGCATGACACAGAGAACCAACTTTCCCTGCAATAGATGCAGTTATTGATTCAATGTAGTTGTTCCACCTCAGGTCAGTGGAAAACGTGAAACCAAGAAGACACAGAGAGGCGATCTTGTGAAGTCGAGCATCGACCATGCTGATAGAAAGCAGGGAGGCTTGTCTATGGTGGTTAAATGTGAGCAGTTTCATTTTGGAAGCACTAAAATTTACAAGCCAAGTCAGCCACAAATCGGAGGTCTATTTCAAGACCAACGGCCAGGTTAGCTTTGTCAGCAATGCTGGATTTACTATTGCAATAGAAGTAAATGGTAGTGTCTATGATAACTATTTTCAGAATTAGTTACACGATTGCACATAATTTATTAAAAGCCACAAATAACAATATTTTTAATAAGTTCATTCTTGGAAATCATTTATTTCTAGTATAAATGCAGTTCTACATTGGCTTTGCTCAGATGAAATGTAAATTGTTTAATTTAATCAATTTAAAATAATTATATACTTATTTGGATCAGCATGTTCATCTTGGTGTATGTATATATATATATATATATATATATATATATATATATATATATATATAGCTAATAACCAATACAATGATACAGACATAAGGAAAACCCAGAAAACCCTTGTCCAATTGAAGTAGATTATCTGTAACCATGGAAACGTGATTTTAGCTGTGTCTTTAAAATCCAGTAATTTTAAAAGTTACTCCAAAATTCGAGGATGAAATGGAACTAATGTCTTTAATTTAATTGCAAAATTAAATTCGGATGAAATGGAACTAATGTCTTTAAATTTAATTTATAATTAATGCTCTGTAAATTTACATTGAGCACTATTTTGTAAAAATAAAAATATCTATAAGAACACTGGATTATATATCTTACTGTTCTTTCTTTTTATTTAAATATATATATATATATATATATATATATATAGAGTATATGAGAGTTTTTATGAGCATTTTTTACGCAAAATATAGTGGAGGTGCATTATACACAAGTAATTTCTTTGAAAAGGTTAAAAATCATGCATTTTTTGTGACCAATTGCACTATACACAGGTATTTTTTTTTTCCGGTGTCACCCTATACATGACATCAACTTATACACGAATATATGCAGTATTCATATTGTTATGGCTTTTTAAATCCTCTGAGATTCTTTAGGTGTTTATCTTCAAACTTTGTAAACATTTTCTAAATTCTAATCCAGAACTTTTATTCAAGTCACAGGGGTAGATTCTTGTCATTCTGCTTTCTGTGCTTAGGAATGAGAACATACTATTCTGGTGAATTGAATAAAGAGTTTATTTAAAAAATCCATGAAGATTACCAAGTATAAAAGGTATCTGAGGATGGCCAGAGAGGGTACAATGGCCAAAATATTTTGAGTTGTAGCAACCTAGATGAACATACTGGTTCAAATAGAAAGACAAATAATTATGATAATTTCTCATCTCAAAAATTCTGGTATAAATGATTTTATATTAATTAAACTATTTTTGAATTTATTTCAATTTAAATCAAATAAAACCTATATAGCAGATCATTGTAGTTTAATTACGTTTCTGAAATAAATATTACAAGACTGGTAAAAAGAGAATTTGTTTACTCTGGTTTGAAGTTTGTCTCATATATCTTAGATAAGTATTGAGCAATGTTCTGCCTGAATTCAATTCATAGGCAAAATCTCAGAACTACTACATGTTAATATTTTTATCTCTGACTTATCCAAGAGTAAAAGGCAGTTGTTTTCTCATCACTTTGTTCTTTTCAGGTCATAGTTGAATTGTCCTCTGGAGATACATCTGGTTCTACAGTGGATCTTGGACTGTCCCCAGGATCTCAAATTAAATTGGAGCACACATCATCCATCAATGTCCATGCTGCAGTACGGTAAAGACCCTCTTATAGTCTTGATACTTGCTTTTTTTTATCTTTTTCTTTTTTTTTTTTTTTTGCCCTAATACAAATCAAATTTAGTATCATCTTAGCTAAATATAGATGTGTGTTTGAGCTAGACTCTAAGTTTCATATAATTTCTCAATTCCTGTCTTATTGAAAATATTATCTTTTACAAGTTTTTGGTATTTAAATTTGTTGGTAATATTCAAGAAATGGCCAAGAACTGAATTTAATAAAATATATTCAAAATCATAGCAGAGGAGATTAATTCAAACCAGACATTGTCACATTATCATTCTATTCTTACTGTTTTAATCATGGGCTTTTATCACCATTTATAAAAATAGCTTTTTTTATTGTTGTTTTTTGCAATGATAAAGACTATAATTTACTCATGACCTGTTAAGAATTTAAAAGAATTTAAGTTGTAGGTTTCTTGGTATAAATATATTTGCTTAAACTGTAAGACCTTCCTTTGAACCTAAGAAAATTAAGATGGTCACAAATTTTGTTATTCTTGTATTGTCATAAAAGTGTCTTCTCACATTTAATTTTTCTTATAGAGACTCATTATTTCCAACTTCTATCAGCACCCAACAGCTGTGTCTTCTGCCCAAAGATCCAAACCAGATATACATTTCAACAGACACGGTCAGTAAACATGAATGCACATCAAAGGAAGAAGCCTATATCTCTTTTACTCATTAAATATAATCTAAGAGGTTAACTATGAAGCCTCCCAGAAGAAAATATATCAGAGCAGAGTAATAGGAAATGTAATCATATTTATGGTACAACAACTTGATGTGTGTTAGTATATGTAAATATTTATGCATACTATCTATATCAGCTGCTGAGATGATGTTATGGATTTATTTCTTTATTTTTTGTAAATGCGTATTGTTTGTGTCAATGATATGAAAAAGAGTTAAAGGCAGCATCAATAACAAACACATGGTGAGTGAACACAACAAGGGCTGTTTGTATCATTAACAAGTAAAAATAGTTCAGAGTCAGACCTACTCAAAATAGGAGTGAACAGTATCAGTCACCTTAGCTTATGATGGGCTGCTACAAAGCATTACATTTTTCACAGTATCAAATAAAAATTATATAAAACATCAGTATCAAGCCGGAAACTTTTAATTCCAAAACCAACATATAGGTACACTATACAGGGTACAATGAATAAATTTTTGTCTAAATTACACAAAAATAAAAATAACACTGACATCTCATTTTAACAGATATTTACAAAAATTACACAAAAATATCTTAAAATAATAAAGAGTAAATTTATTCAATAAAATCACCACTGGCTTCAACCAATCTCCTGCAACTCTTCTGGACGGTCTCCTTGTTTAAGTTGGCAAATCCTGCCATAATCCTTGCCTTTAGTTCAGCATTGGTGTTACAAGGAGTCTTGTTGCTCTCTCTCTCTCTCTCAGTTGTGCCCCACATATAATAACCAAGGAGTGGGTGCAGTCTGGGGAGTTAGGTGGTCAGATGCAAGGGGTGATGTGATCACAAAAATTGTCTGATGACAGCTATGACTGGGTTCTCCTGCTTGTGTGACATGGTGCAGAGACCTGTTGCCAGACATAGTTCCAGCAGCCATCCTCTTGACCCAGAGCAGCACTATCTCTTCAAGGCACGATGTAGAACTCGATGTTGAGTCTGAAGCCCTCACCAACAAATTCAAGAGTTCTTTTCTTATCAGAATGATCAGAGTAAGTTTTCCGAGTTGCCATACCTTTGTAATCACGATTTAGACTCATCCAACTCTTTCCAAATCCTCTGCATTGTCCTCAGATTGACATCCAAACACTTTGAAAGGTTTGTATTGGAGCTTCCAGTATGAATTCCAGGCAATGCAGCATGTTGTTTCCAAATTTCTGAAGGGGCGAATTGCGTTATGCTTTTTTTCACAGACGGTACCCAACTGACCCTACTATACTGTGCAGTCGACAAAAACAAACAACGTGCATGCACAAAATTAAAATATAAAATGACGACAATTTATTCATCGCACTCTTTATATCATCTTGGAACTTTCAAAATATAAAGTATATTTATTTTGCATGAAAAAATTTGAAAGACTAAACTTTTTACATGTTAAAAGGAAGGCATGCAGCATTAAATAAGCTAATAAATGTAAAAATTATTAAATTCCTTTAGTTTATCAGTTTGCCATATTAATTTAGCTGCATAAATTTTAAATGAAACAAAAATGTTTATTAAAGTTACATTGGACACTGTTGTGGCAGCAAGATTATCTTGCACGTATTTTCTGAATTGTATAACACTATTGCATCTGCTATGATTGACAGCCATATTAATGATTAAAGATCACTATCAACAGCCGACGATCTTGATGCCAAGTCACTTTATTGAATTTATATTTTCAACAAGGGAAATTACTCTATCTAGCACTGACTATACCTAGAGTTATCTTCCTTGAAAAATTGAATTGTTCAGGGTGAGCATGAATGGAAAGCAAACATTCTGAAAATTGCCTCATTCTTCAAGTTAGAATATTTTAACAGAATTTTATTAATGGAAATCTTGTTATGATGTACTCTTTTGTTGTTATGTCAAACTTTATACTCTGCTTTAAATTAGATCTCTTTCTGATTCACTCTACATCAAAACCTGATGGACAGATATGAATGCTATGGAAGCAAAAATAAAAATAAAAAAGTCACTCTCTGCACAGGGGCTCCAAGCATCACATTCAAAAAAATGCTGAATCATACATCCACCATAATTGATTAAAAGGATGCAACTCTCAACACTGGAGATCAGTTGCAGAAAGGCCATCACCGTCATTTTGGTCAACTGACCCAGCACATGCATCAATCCCAGGCCCTACCAACTCTCCCCATCCTCCAGGTTGTTTCCCTTGCCCACTTAGAGAATCCTGCCATTACCCTCTATATCAGCAATACAAAGAATTTTATCTTAACAATTTGTAATTTCTTTCCACCTCCACCAGTAGTATTGTTGTTTCATTTGTTCACTTGCACAACAATATGCTTTTATAACAAAACTCACAAACAGAAATAGGATCTTATAGTTTTTTGTGGCCTCCTATTTTTTATCTAGTATTTTTTTTCCTTTCATTGTATGTAAAGTCAGAATCTTTCTTCTAGATGTTGTAAGCTTACTGTTTGTTAAACTGGATAAATGCTCTGAAGAAAAAGAAGAAAGCCTTATAAAAATCGCAAATATTTTTAATTCAGTTATCATAGAAAGGAGGAAATATATTCAAAATGATTTGTTTTTTAATATTCAGCAAATAAAAGTGAAGTATTATTTCTTTGTTAGGGTCATGTAATACATAGTGTTCGACTTGGTTCCCAACCTTATCCCAGAGTCCACAGTCCAAGAAAAGGTAAGTTACAGCTATTCTTTTTCGTATGTTTTTCTTTGAATTTTTCTATAAATATTCTAATATCTTCATGTCAAGCTTGTTAATTCATAATCAATAACTAAAGAAGCTTTGTTTGCACTAAGATTGTTTTTTTTTTTATCTTTTTAGAATAAAACTTTATCAGGACTAACATAAAATGACATTTCATGCTGTATGATCCATTAAAGCTTCACCAAAATATTATTTATTTTCTGATCTATTTCAAATTTGATATTGTTTTACCCATAATATCTCTTCAAACTCTACTCTTGACTCATCTGGAGCATCCTTGCCTGACTTTCCTCTTAGAACTGAGTCTCTGTTGAGTGATATGCATATAACTCCATCTATGGTTTCTGATATCATCTTTAATCTGGATCCTCACAAAGCATGTGGACCTGATAGTCCTTAAAAAATGTGCTTGCAAATTGGCTCTTGTTGTTTCTAAACTGTACTATAAATGCCTCTTGCTTTCCTGCTTATTGGAAATCCTCCTCTGCTGTTCCAGTCTATAAGAACTCAGTAGTTTGAAGGGTCAGATGGTTCACCTGACCTATTAGCTTAGAGACCTTCCTGCTTCCCATTTGCACAGCTGACACTAATCTCCATGAGAGTGACTCATTGAGCCTTTTCAGGCTTATATTCTTGGCTGACAGGAAGTGGAAAGATTATATTGAATCCATTACTAGATCTGCTAAGAAATTTTTTTTGTGTGTTGTGTGAGACAATTTTTCTCTCCTAAATCTATCCTACATATTTATAAGTCTACCATTCATAAATGCCTTGAATATTGCTGCCACATATGGTCTGGTGCTCTTGAACTTAAATTTTATTTACCTTTTTTATTTTAAATATTAAAAATTCTTATAACAATTTACATTTTATGTTCAACTGTATGTACCGTTTAATAATTCAATAGCATTTAAATGAGATGAATCCATTTAAACTGGGAACTTTTACAACATGTAATAAACAAAAAATAATTGCTAAGCCTGCTCTTTATTTAATTGTATTGATAAAACCATAAGACAAGATGTTAGGAAAAGTTAACAATGAATACTCTTTGCTAATAATTTTGTTTAGAGAGAGAAATACTACTTATAGATACCATGATATTGTTCATTTCAAGAAAAGGTTGTCTCTTTCCCCACTCCACCCACAATCACAAGTAGGATCATTAACGTGGGAAAGACAAAAAAAAAATGTATGTGAAGAAATGATTATCTTCAAGTCATTTCATAATGGTGAGATAACTTTTCCTTAGAAGGGAACAGCTAATCATTACTGTTTGTTGAAATTTATAAAATCTTTCTCTTAAAACAAATATTCAAGATATTTTGCACTGACAAAAATATTCCCAAGTGATTAAAACTGTCAATTAATATAAAGTACTGGTCAGTTGAGAAGCAGGAAAAAATATAACTCCAGTATAAAACACTACAGCTTTAAATATGTCACCATCAAGACAATTGAGACTTTATTATAACCAGCAATTCTATGTTTAGGCCAACATAGATCCTCTACACCTAAACTAGTACTGTCTAATACAGCATTATTGTTTTGAAACCTTTTGTTCAGTTTGGTTTTTAATCTACTGTTCTCTTTGGCATGTAATTAACTTGATTTTCCATCATTGCAAGTATACTTGCTTCAAACAATGAAAACGGCTTTAAGTGAATGAACCCTGTAGGCCTTGGAGAGGGCTTCCCTTCATCATAAACATCACTTGAAGACTTCCAACAGCAACAACTAAAATGGATAGTACATGTAACTAGAAAATGCTAACTTAATCATAAAGTTGATTTTACCCAATATCTTAAACATAAGATTACGAAGGAAGTCCCCCATCAATACTAGAAAGGTGATAACAGTTTGAATTTGAGAAACTTACTTTCCTGAAAATTTGTCTCAAGAGAAAGATTTCATAAATTTCAGCCAATAGTAATGTTAACTGGTCAATGAATGCCTATTCTCACCATTACCATTCTTTTTTAAGGAGACTTACAAGCTTCTGTTATTGTTTTTAATTTATATTTCCTATGAAACACTGATCAGTAAATCTAATCAAAATGTTTTCTTTCTGATTGCAGTGACTCTATCGAGTGTGTTGAGCCATGTTCTCAGTCTAGATTTCTCACCCTTCATGGCACCTTGTTTTTTGGTAAATTTGTTTCTAATTATGAAAAGTTATGGAAATGGTAATAAATATTGACTCCTTGATGGCAGGGTTACTTTACATAGAAAAGCAATTTCTTAGTTACAAGTGAATTTATCTTGGAACATTTCGGTTCTTGTTTGCATATCAGAAAATGATATGATTTTCTTTTTTCAGGTATTCTTTTTTTTTTTGATCTTCTGTATTATTTTGCTATATATATATATATATAGAGAGAGAGATTATAATAAAAATATATTGAAAATGTTTTTATTTTAATCTCTTAGAGCAAAATATTATATTTTTATTATGTTTTGTATTGACCACTTTTTTAAAAAAAGTAATTGCAATGAACTGTAGATTTTTACTTCACTTGTTCTTTGTCTTATTTGGGCATATATATATATATATATATATATATATATGAGTGCTTCATGAAATATGGATAGAATTATAACTCTTATACTGAATTCATTTGAACACAAAATGGAATGTAATAAACATATCATTAGTTCAGTGACTTAGAAATGCCAGTGCCTCATGATTATTGGTACTGACAAAAAGTACCTTTTGATATATCTGTTCACTTTTCACAACCTGAAAAAAAATCTTATCACTGACATACCACAATGAAAAAAATTTCAGTAAACCACTCGCATAATTATCTTACATGCCCAAACAGGTTAAACTTAATAGGGACCTAATCAATTCTGAATATAATTTTAGAGGCATGAACTTATGTAAATTTAATATGCTCCCAACTTAAAAATGAAATGAAAACAGTCCCAAAACAATGTTATTTTACATTTCAATATTTTTTGTTTGTTAGTGTGTAAGGTGATTATTACTGTTGTTGCAGATTTTTGAAAAATGAAAATTTTACTTAATGTAATTCCCATAGCAACAAATTTCTCTCAGTACAGGAGGTTCTTGACTTACCTTGGAGATCTGTTTCTACAGCACAACATAACCTGATTTTCAACATAAGTCGGAACTAACCTACATAAGCACCCACGAGTCTGCCTTCTATTTGGGAATTATAATGAAGGACAGTTAAAAAAAAAAAAAAGATATAGTGCCACGTGACAATGTATGGGAGAGGGCACTGTAATCATGAAATGTAACTCAAGGACCTTCTGTATTTCCCTATTTAGACATCACAGACTTAAGTAGGTAAGGTGCTGACTAGGGAATTTTAAATCAGACCCAACCACAAATAATTAGTGCAAATTGAAAAAAAAAAAAAAAAAAAAAAAAACTGAGATAGAAAAACTGTCCCTGTGAAAGAGAAAAGTTCATTCACAGTGAGGTGAACCTTAATTTTTTTTAAAATTCCATTATACAAATGATATTTAACATGCATAGGCATGATTTCATTTACATATGCATCTATTCTCGTTTTGTCATTTTAACTTCTATTGATATTTTTTTAAATTTTTTTTTTTTTCCAGACAGGACACTCTGATGGAAGTGTGAATCTATACCACACCAGTCTTGGTAAGTAATTCTTTTTTTCTTCATGCAACAATTTGTGCATGTGTTCATTGTGTTGATGCATCTACGAATTCCCCAGTAACAAGAATAAAATTCTCCAAACCTCTCCCCTACAAATTTGAATGAAAAACCAAATCTGACACATGATGTATATTTTCAAATTGTTTTATTTTGAACTAATTAAATGTACATTTTAAAAAAATTATTAGGATTGTAAACATCTTTTCCCTGAAAACATTTTTCTTGGACTGAAGTGGGGAAAAAATTGAATTTTTGGAACTAACCAATTTTTTTTTTCAATCATAATCAATCACATTTAATTTTCGTCATTAGTAAATTCTCCTGACAGATTGGAGAGTTAGTACTATGTTGATGAGCTTAAAAATCTGATATACTTTCATGGAACTTTGTAAAGGGAGTGGGGACAAAACACTTTCTGATTTTACATTCCTCCCCTCTCTCCAATCAGAATAAAATTAAAATTTTATAAAAAAACAACTTGGTTTGTGAATATAACCTTAAGATTTTTTTTTTTTTGATTTACAGTAATAATTACTTAATTTTCCTGGCATTTTTCATTGCAGAATGTCCTGTAGTGACATGGTTACCTTCTCAGACTGGATCCCAAAGTATTGTGAGTGTCCGTTGGTCACACAGCCGCCCAACTGTCTTTTATGCTTTGAGCGACCGATCTACAGTTTTTGTATATGACTTACTGGAACAGGACAACAATGCTATCTGCACACAAACTTATGAAGACAGGTGAATATGACTTGCTTTCTGAATTAGATCTCTATGTAGATAAAATTTTCAGTCATTGCCTACAGTTTTGTCAGAAACCAAGAAAGTTAAGTGCAAAACTCATTACCGGGGAGAAGTTTTTTTTTTTTTTTGTGTGTTGTGCAGATACTGAACTGTTTTGAAGAAGAAAAAAAAATTCATGACAATCCAATGAATTTATCTATTTTTATAAGTATGGGGGTTTTCTTTTCTCTTTTTTGCCAAAAAGAATAGGTCCTTTACTGAACTCCAACACTTGAAATTCACTGCCTTTTTTTTTGGGGGGGGGTGATCTGGGCTGGGAGCTTCAGGAGAAATAGCCAATCCAATGCTAATATAGCATTGGTTTAATTCCTCCCAATTCTAATAATGATCTGTTACTGATGCATACTTCTTTACTATAAAGGGAATATGGCCATAAAAATTTCTTCCTATCCTTTAAAATTGCTTTGCAATTTCATTTCCTTTTCAAGGCTTACTTCCTTTAATGTAATCTGCAACTCTAATGCCACTAACAGTACAGAAGAAAGAAAATCCACAGAAAAAATGGTGAGTTCAAAGTTTGATATCTTTAAAAAAATAACATCTGAACTCTATTCCCACATCAAAATTTTTTTTTTAAAATATTTTTTTTGTAACCTCTATTCTACAGCTTACATGCAAGCAAACAATGTTTACAAATGATAAATATTTGAAGAATATTTTTTATTTTCCTCCCTCTCTCTCAGGTTTTATGTTTTGCTAATGGTCGAATTGAAGTGCACACCATTTCCGAGGTCTTCTCTGAACGTCAGACTCTGGAGGTGGAATTTCTGGAAAATTATTTGCACAGAATGTAACCTTGTACCTGTCCCTTATTTCTGTATATATTCTTAAAAAGATTAAACAAATATTTGCTTAAAACTATTTTTCTATTTTAAGTGACCTGCCCCCTCCCCCCAAAAAAATTTTTGGTCCAAAAAAACCATAGATAAATTGAAATAATTTTGCTAAGCAATTTCCATGCAAAAAGAAAAAAAAAATATCCTAGTTTAACCCAGTCACCAGGAAATGCTCTCCACCAACCATCCTTGATACAGGTTAACAACAGTATTGAATGGCTAATAAAAGTTGTACCTGTAATTATCATCCCTAACAGACTGAGAGAAAGGCACAAATGGAAGAAAAAGAAGAGGAAGAAAAAAAAGCTTCAGAATAATCACTTCTCTATAATTTTTTTTTTTTTCAATGTGACCTTATTACAAAACAAAATAGCAACAACTGACATACATAAAGAATTTTTTTAAAAGTTCCTCCCCAAAAAAAAAAAAATTTTTTACTTTGATCGTCCCAGGAAAGAAAGAATGATTAGGAAAAGATTGATTATGTCCATGTACAACTGCAAAGCACCAAAAATATATTCCTCAGGGCTTAGTTCAATCTTCTTCCCACCAATGATTGTTTGTGTGTCAAACACAAGAAACTAAAAAAAAGAAAAAAATTATTACAAATGTTAGGTTTTTTTATTTTTTATAGTATCAGTTTAAATATGAAATTATTGACTAGATTGCTTTATGACAGTGATCATACAGCAAAGTGAAAACACGACAAATTATACAAGTTCAAACAAAATAATTCTTACCCAGGCAAAGAGCAAAGCTAGGAGGGCACCATAGACATTATTCATGATCTGTAAGATTTAAAAAAAATATATATATATATAAACGGTATTCATCTGCTCTATTTTCTCTTATTTTACAAAATCAATTGCACAGGGCTATGACAATAAATACCAAAATTCGTCCAAATAAATTAGACATTTTCTACATATTGGAAGTAAAAGTGGTCACACAACTAACTATCACTTTTTTTTTTATCATGTTCTTAAAAGTAGAAACAAAAGCACAGAATTAAATAGACATAACTTACTGGCATTGGATGTTGCAAGGCAAATTGCGTGATCACTGTGCATAAACCAAACAACATGACAATCAGGACAAATGTGAAAAGGAGACCAGCTGTCAAGGTGAAATCAATCTGTAATAAAATTATTACAATTCACGCAGTTTGCCAATCAAGGAACCCATAAAATTATTGAAAAGAGGTTGTGATCATCATTTGGAATCTAAGAACAACCAGATTACTCAGTGGTTTAGTATTTATTACACAATATTAAGAATTGATTTAGTAGTGGGTGGCATTTAGAATAAAAACTTTGGAAGAATAATCTGGTGGCCAAATTTAGAAAAAACAATATTTATTGACAATTGTTGCAGAAGTGTAATCATCTTCAAAGATCACCAATAAAATAAAAGTTTCAGATTTATCTTGGGAAAGCAATTGATGTAATTCATGATATAAGCATTTAACAAAAATGTAACTACCGTGGGGGGAAAAAAAAACATAGCATTTAAAAGAAATAATGAATGTTTTAAATTGCTTAAACATTTAGTTAAGTGTTTTTTTTTTTTTTTTTAATGAAGAAAGCAGCTTACCTTGGTCTGCATAGCAAAGAGTGATATTGATAAACAAACCACTGCAGTCACGCCAATAGCAATCAGCACTATAGTAGTTGAATGGAAACTGTAAAATATAGAACAAGAAAACAAGCTGGATATATCAGGATATCAGGTAGTTAAAAGATGAAAGAAGTTGAGCACCTTGTCAAGTTAGAGTTTTATACAATCATTCCTTGAGGGTTAGCTGTTATAATAGTAAAGTATAAAAATATATATAACTATAATTTAGGGACTTCCACTAAAAACATGATACCTAAGGTTTAAAATGAATTTTTAAAAAAGGAAAACTAAAATAAATCTTCGAGAAAAATTTAATTTATTAGCTTGAAATTAAATCTAATATTTCCAATAATCAAAATACTTAGTTTTTGAAATACAGCAAATTTAATTTAACTGGAAGGAGTTTTCTTTTGCTAAAAAAGCTGATTAGCGCCCTTTTTGAGTAATCTTTCATTGCAATATAATTCTCTTTATTAAAAATTCTTCCAAAAATAAGAAACTTTAAAATCAGCTAATAAAGTAAATAATATTTGTTTCAAATCAGATTAATTATACTTTGTTTAAAATATCACAGAAATGCATTTTTAACCTCATGGTAGCTGTTTTGTCAGCCTAATAACAGAGCTAATGTTGTTCTATCTGTAAAATATAATTTAGGATGAGATGAGCAGCTTTTTATATAATTTTTAAATACTCAGTAATCTTTAAAATTTTGGAAATATTCTCCATAATCTGTTTTATTAAATTTTAGAGATGTTAACTTTAAATTTACTACAGTTATCACTCACTTTCTGATAATGTCATATATGGTCATCTGTACTTACAAAACTTAGTACATGTATACACAAGAAAAAACTCAAAATTCTTTTAAAAACATTTGGTGTTTAATGATTTGTATTAAGCTTTTCCATTTACGATTAGTAAATATAATTTTCACTTAATATCATCTAAAAGGCTGAAATTAATACAGAATTTTTTTTTAAAAATTCTTGTAAAAAAAAAAAAAATTCTTAATAGTGTCCTTAATATATCTTATTTATAAAAGCAATTATAAGCTTCTCTAATAAAAAAAAAAATGTCTTAGTTTTATCGGATTTTTTTTATTTTACAATTCAAAGCAGAGTTTCAGGAGTTTGACAAAAACAAATTGGTCATTTCAATTCTCCAAGGAGTCCTGCTTTTAACTAATATAAATATGAAGAGGCTGAAATTTAAATTTCTCAAAATTTCATAAAATTAATTAAGTTAGTAACATATTAAAAAAATTCAAAATTTCATTCATTTATGAATATGACCTGAAAATTTAATTAAAATCTGACAATTATTTGATTTTTTGCAAGAATTTCCAAAACAATGTTTTTAACACTAAAAATCCTTATGCTAATCTTTAGCCTGCATAAGAAAAAAAAAAAAAAAAAAAGATTTTTAACCAAAATTTGAATGTACTAGAAAAGATTAAAAAATTTAATAAAATAATAAATACTTTGGTCTTTCCTCTTAATAATAAATATTTTGACAATAGAACTTTTTATCAAGTTTGGAGGAATTTTTTTTTTCATCATGGTATGCTCTTTTTCAGAAAATTTTTGGAGGTACCTACTATAATTTCTTAATATTATGCACTTATTGAAAAAAAATTTTTTTATAAATCCAATGAGATAACACTTAATATTGCATTAATAGAAAAACCAAGTAAAAGGTTTTAAGAACTTTTAAAAGAATAAAAAGTCTCTCACCTGCTTATTGTTGCCAGCATGAATGCCGTGGCTATTGTCTACAAGAAGAATTAAAACTGAGTAAATTTAATTTGCATTAAAATTTTGGTTTGAGAAAAAAAAAAAATTATTTTATTTTTTTGTGAATATTTTGACATTATTTTTTTTTTACATTTCTGCAAAATCCTTATTTTTTAAACAGTATATCTTATATCAACTTTTGCCTGAAGGTTTGTGATTGCAAAATCAAATTTTACTTACAAAAACACTCAGGCATACCAAATTTCCAGGATGTTTGCGGCTGAAAAAGAAAAAAAAAAAAAAAAAAAAAAAAAAAAAAAAAAGATTGCTATAGTGTCAGTTCATACATTCACAGAATATTAAAAAAAAAAAAAAAAAAAAAAAGAATCTTGTGAATAGTCAACTGAATACTTTAATAACACTTGCATCAGTTTCATTCTGGTTTGAAAGCAGACATTAAGGGAAACTATAGACCCTAAATCAGAAAGCTACAATCAATAGACAGACCAGGCACTAGAAACAGGTTTATTTTTTGTTTTTGTTTTTTGCAAGAAAAAGTTAAACAATGATACAAAAGAAGCTATAAGTTATGACAAAAGCTCTTTAATCTGGTAAGTAAGCACTTGGAACACACATTCTATCTTAGGAGAAACTTCTGTCTTAAAGACCCCCCCCCCGAGCAATAAACACTACTTCAATATACAGGGTGCAATGGGTAAAATTGTCATTATTTTATATATTTTAAATTATGAATATGTGCATTTGTTTTTGATTTTGCTGACTGCACCGTATAGTAGGGTGAGTTGGGCACTGTCTGAGAAAAAGAGCACCATGACATAATTCACTCTGCCAGAAATTTGCAAACAGTATGCTGTATTGCTTGGCATTTCACACCACAAGATCCAATATAAACATTTCAGAATGTTTGGGTGTCAATCTGAGGACAGTGCAGAGGATTCGGAAAGAGTTGGATGAGTCTGATGGTGATTACGAAGATATGGCAACCCAGAAAACTCACTCTGATCATTCTAAAAAAGAACTTGCTAGGGCCTCAAACTCAAAATGGAGACCTACATTGTGCTTTGAGGAGGTATTGCTGCCCTGGTTCAAGAGGGTGGCTGCTGAAAGACTATGTTTGGCAACAGGACTCTGGACCATGCCACACAAGCAGGAGAACCCAGTCATGGCTGTCAGACAATTTCAGCGACCACATCACCCCTTACATTTGGCCACCTAACTCCCCAAAATGCTATTGTGTGGGGCACAGTTGAGTGAGAGACCAAAAAAACTCCTTGTAACACCAAAGATGAGTAGAAGGCAAGGATTATGGCATCTGTGGTTCAAGCCAATGGCAATTTTATTGAATAAATTTACTTTAGTATTTTAAGATATTTTTTGTGTAATTTTAATAAATATATCTTAAAATAAAACTGACATCTTATTTCATATGTAATTTATCAATTGCACCCTGTGTGTGTTTTTTTTCACAATGCCTACTGCTGGTAAATGAGAGTAAAAAAAAAAAAAATAGTAACATTCATAAAAGAAACATTTTACAATTTCACAATTGATGATTGTTCTGAAGTGGCTGACTAGATATTTTGGTATTTGATCATATATTAGATCATCTTGGTCAGAAGAGGTGCCATTAACAAACAAATAAAAATAAAAAAAAAAAAATGGGATGGTTAGCATTAATGAGTTAAGAAATCCTAAAATAACCCTAAAAATAAAACTTTAAAAAACGAAGAATGCCATAAAATAACTGCTTAAAAAATCTACACATTTTGTCATTTTTTTTTCTTGCATTCTATCATTTTGGGAAAAATATCTATTATAACCATCTTCATAAGTTCTTATTAAACTTTTCTTTCTTATATATTTAGCTGTCTACTTTACCTCACAAGCCTTGAATAATACTAACAAATGTTAAAGAAGTGGTATTCCATTATAGTTGATAATAATCTTTGCTAAAAAAGCAAGTTACTGTATTAAATGGGTGACTGAAAGTCAAATTTTGTTTTACTTACCGGACACTTGGAACACAAACAAGCACCAAGTAGGTGACAATAAAGACTGCACTGAAATAAAATAAAAAAAATAAAAATCTATAATTGCATTGAAAAAAATCTGAGACAACCACTAGCAGATCACATATTTAATTTTGTTATGAAAAGTTTCTAATTTTAGATAATGTAGCATTTTAAGTTTATTTCTTGTTTATATAAAAGTAAGCTTTAAAACATTGTTAAATTTTATCTCCTTAATTGATAATCATTCAAAAGAAATAATTAAGATTAGACTTAAATAGACTGATACACTCATAAAAATAGTAACTGATCTTTAATGACAAAAAAACTTAACTTAAAAAAAAAAACTTTAAAAAAAAAAAAAAAAAAAAAAATTTGCCAAATGCTTGTTTAAAAATATTTTCTTTTTGCAAGTGGATTAATCTAAGTAATTCCCTGATGACAGCCAGTGTCAAAGATGTCTAAAACAAATTTGCTTCAAGCAAGCAACTCACAGCTCTTCAAAAGAAAAAGAAAAAAATTTATGTTCAATAAAATAATATCTAATTTATCTCAAATAATCTGAGAAAAACATCTAAAAGAATTAGTTAAAAATATATCAAAGGATACTTAATATTTGTGAGTGAATTTTTTTAACATACAGCCTAAAATTCTCAAACATTTAAGAGATTTTTTTTTGCCAAGATACTTAATAATTTTTTAAATTTTGGAGAAGCATGTAACAATACAAAATGAAGATATCTTCAGGTTTTTGGGGTTTTTTTTTAATAATAACAGATATACTTACTAAGACAAGCCATAAAACCAAATGTTCTCAATGATCCAATCACCAATAGCAGGCCTACAAACAGATATAATATAAGCAATGATTTATGCAAGGCCTAAAGAGGGGGGGGAATCAGCTATAATGTGTCAAAGACTCTGAAAGTACTACTGAAAAATTTAAGAAATTCCAAATCACATGTATAAACTTTTGCCAGTATGCTTTCCAAGTTGACTATATACATAACCTAAGGGAGACTACTACAAAGGAGATGGCGAAAAGTAGGCATTAGAGGAAGGTTTTTCTTCATGGCCAAATTCTTTGATGTTTTGGGAAGCGCCTCACAAGTTAAGGTATTGATAACAATGGTTTTACAGAGGCACTACTTGCGATTTAAAATGACAACACGCTAGCTACTCAATTTAAAACTGAAGACTAACTATATAATCCTTGATTTCAATATAAAGAAACAAAAATATGTTTTCGTAACCAACAAAATTCATTAAGTTAAAATATAACCTTTCATGTTTATAATACATAATTTTTTTTGTTCTTCCAATTTTTGTAATATAGACTATTTTTAGCATTCACTTTATCTAGTGTGAGGATTTAAAAAGAATAATCCATCTGCCACAAAGATGCCCAGCAAGTGGTAACTGCCAATACCTGCCCCCAATAAGGCAACTAATAGTTTGATTGTTGCTGTACAAAAATAGAGGATATAAACAGTTACTTCATTAGTTGATGTCCAATAAGATAGCTGTACTCATCACAGTGGCTAGATGTAGTTGTCTAAGTTTCTTTCATAGCTTTCGGGGATTCTTGTTTTGTTTTTATTTAAACAAAGTCTCTTAGCAAGCAAGAATAGCATGTTAAAAGTGCATGTTTGTTAAAGTTTGTAAATATATTTCTAAGACAGGAAAGTGGTAAAAATAGAAATTGATGACAAAATAAGGAATTCTGGAATAACCAAATTTGGTTAAGTGCTAACAGAAATTACTTACACAAAGATAAAAATGGCAATTACAGCAACAGTTACAGACATCTGGGCCAGGAGGATCATGTAAACCTGAAATACAAAAGATTAATTCAATGAAACCTGCACACATCATTTTAAACATGCTTAAGTTTCCAATCAAGTTCAAGGTCTTACATTGTGGATCCAGCAAGATTAAAAGACAAACATAGGCTTTTAGGATTATAACACAATTTTAGCCATAAAGATTAAAGAATGGGTTTTGACTGAACCTCAAAATAATACATATTAGAAACATAGGTTAACAAAAACTTGGAGATGTGCACTTGAACTGTTATTCTAACCAGGGAATTCTACCAACTATTTTTGACACTTTCAGTTTAATGTTTCATTTGACAATTAATAAAAGTTGCATTTCTGTCTATTTTTAGCAAGTTAAGAATTTTACATTATTTTAAAATTAATTAAAAGATGAATATTTAACTTAATCAGAGAAATAAAAAAATAGAAACTTATTTTTGTTTGTTAAATCTTAATACTTTATGCCAAAAATGATTTTGCTAGAACAATAATAAAAATAATCATACCAGTTTCTACTTGTACTAAACATTTTTCTCAATTTTAAAAATAGTAAAAGAAAAGCTTGCAAAAACAGTTCCAAAGTTATCCAGTCCTGAAATCAAGAACATTTAAATGCAAGTTGCAATGTTAGTTATTCACTTTCTTAGAATTTAGTAATAGTTTTGCTTTTCTACAACTTTGTTTTGACCAATTGAAATAATTGTCATAAATGAACAGAACCACCCCCTTTCCAATAGAATATCATTAAGTACGGAAACAAGAAGGTTTCCTTCAATGAGCAACCCAACTAAAAAAGCTTACATCAAGAAGGATATCCAGCTGTAAAATACATACTATAACAATAAATTGAAAGATATCGGTTTTGCAGGGAAAAAATGGTTTTGACCAGATACAAAGTTAGAAAGTTCCTAAACATTGGAGAAAATTTGGAATATTTGCAAATCTTACTTCAGGGTACACACACGCACAGGTAAGCAAATGATAAAATGGAAAACTCCTAGGTGATGCGCTTTGTTCCAAGAAAGAACTTCTTCAGACATATGCATATATAAATACACACACACAAGACAGACATTTTGTGTTGGTTAATTTTACTGATCAACTTTTCCAAATTACAAATAATCCTTCTCAGACAAGGAAGAAATTCTATCAGAGTCCAAACTTTTGACTTTCTTAAGTCAGTATCAGGGTAGGTAGAGACATTGCGAGTGTTGTGATGTATTTCTTAATTTTGAAAAGTTGATCAGTAAAATTAATCAACACAAAATGTCCATTGTTTTTAATATTTGCCTTAAAGAAGATTTGTTGCCTAAATACATAATATAAATGGGCATTGGAACTGAATCAGGATAAACCAAGCCAGGTAATGGAAGCCAATCCACAACTGACCAGTCAAGAGAACAATTTAACTAATCACACCATCCAAAATTATTTCTGTAACTAACAAAAAAATCTCTGAAGTAAAACATTTGAGTAACACATTTATTAAGGGACAAGTCTAATTTAGAAACATGCATTTCTGTATAAATCATGTGCAAGGAAGAAAAGTGCACATATATCAAGAAAATATACAAATGAAGGATGACACTAACTGCAAAACCTGGTTGCAGGAGGAAAAAAAAAAACAAAAAAAAAAAAACCCAACAATGTGAGTTTTTTGTTTTTTTTTTTTAACCAAAAAAAATGTTTGACCCAAGCAATACAAATGCCAAGGTGTATTACAGAAAAGAGAGAGTTCAGTTTGGCTGGAAAGTTCTGCAATACGCACTCTTCCTGCGTAAGTTGATAACTTTTGATTACCACTTTTTCTGCTTCATACAAAACTTCTTTAATAATGATGACCAGAAAGCAGCATGACAATCATTCTTTGGTTCAAACCAAATATTCTTTCACAAAGGGAATCTATGATTTGCTTACACATTACTGAAAACTGATAAATAACAATGGTAATAATCTATCTATAAAAGGCAGGATGTGTGTTTGTGTAACGAATGCACGGCAGCAATTTTCGACAGATTTGCACCAAAATTTACATGCACATGCTCCAAGTTAGCGGGAAGACCAAGACTGACTTTGCATTTCCCAACTCCCATCGATAGTGGAAATAATCAATTTTTTCATGCTTCTACGGCATGTAGTTTGTGGCCATTTTGTACTGGCCAGAGTGAGAGCCAATAGCTGGCTGCCACGAATAGGCAGGAAGATTCTATTGGCCAGCGTGAGAGCCAACAGCTGACCGACATGAATGTTAACTAGCATGCAAAAAAAAAAAAAAAAAAAAAAAAGCATCAATAGCTGCATTTGTTACAAGTGGGAAAAATTTAAATCTGCAAGGCACTTTACTCCAATTGGCTCATTCGCTTGCTTAAACTCAATGTTGATTCTGATTCCGCAGAACTGGGTTGGGTGTGAAAAAGTATTTGTTGTTAACATTTTTTTCATTCGGTTTTCCAGTTACGAGTCCTTTTTTAAAGCTGATCATTTTGTGTTCATTTTGTTTGGTTCTTTTTTCGTGACAGATTTAATGTTTAGTATAGAGCTTAGAAAAAATTCGCAGTGTGGGATAGGCAAGAAGCAAGGTATGTAGCAACATCAGCACGGCAAAGGGCACTCCTTTAAAGGCAAGGAAGGGCAAAAATATTTTAAGTCAAGTGATAGCGATTGTTGTACGAGTCGTACGATTTTTGAATCAAGCATGGGCAATGGCGGGCCATGCTGCTAGTTGTTTTATATTTTGTTTTTGTGTAATAACATTTTGAATGTAAGGAAACTTTCTTATAAATTAAATAAAAAGTATTTCTTGCTTTTCTGAAAAGAAAAATGCTGAAATACTAAAGTTCAGTAAATTTATAATGAAATAAGGAATTTAAGTATCAAATAAAAGAATTTTTACTATTAAATAAACAGATAATAGTTTCTCTAAAAAAAAAAAATTACAAACAAAGCATTCAAATGTCTTAGTTTCACTAAATTATCGAAGTTTACTTACCTTTCTGATAAAAGCCCGTCTTATGGCTTTATCCAAAAAGGAGTTACCAAATGAACTTTCTCCTGCTTCAGTAGCTGAGAAAATAATTTTAAGAAATGATGACATGAATTTTTAAGATAACTCATGTTATGTAATGCACATTTATTACATTTTAAATTTCTGAGATTTTAGAATATAAGGAAAAACAATTTTGGATATAGCGTTATAAAAAGACAAAATCCTAAAAGGTTAAAATTCACACATTATCCTCTAACCAGGCTTATTTTTATATACTTGCTCGTTTATGCATTTCATTATTTATATGCATCACTATTTCAATGTAAATTATTGAAATCAAATTCAACATTACTTAGCTGTAGCCTTTCTTTAAGATAGCAACTAAATCGGCCCATAAACATTTTCCTTAAGTTTCAATTTGTTTTTATAATTAACACATTGAGAGAGAGGAAAAAAACTATACTAGTTGTATACACTTCCTTATATGGTAATAGATGTTTCCATATAAAGAAACATTCTTCATTCATTGACAGAGCAGCCAGTGCTGCTGAGAGCTGAAATTTATAGCTTCCTTCCTAACCTTTTATTTGAAGTAGTGTGGAACATCAACATCTTCATTATGTCATTATTATCTGTTCAAGTTACATGTGCTATCCATTTTAGTTGTTATTGCAGTTGAAAATCCTCAAGTGGTGTGGTTTCTGTATTTTGTTTGTGATTCTGTAGCACCAGTCCACAAGGTTCACCAAGATCCACATGCTTCACTCACTCAAAGCTATTTTAAACTATTAATCTTAGTAAGTGGTTGTATACATCTTAGATATTTCTAAACATGTTGAGCACCATGCATGATATTCATATGAAAGTCTCATTCTGGTGAGGTTATTTAAGAACATGATTCATGTTTGGTTTTGTAGCAATTTGTAGTGTTGTGGAAAACTACCCCTAGTGCAGCCTATTCTTTGTTCAATTTCCTTATCTTATATACTAAATTTGTTATAACTGATCCATACACCATGATGTTTAGTATTTACTAATTCTACATCATTTTCATTCCAATTATAGACATTTGTTTTATTTTGGAAAAGTTTATTTTGATTCCTATTTCTTGGAATACTTGGTAGAGGATGCATCTTTATCCCCTATTTCGTCGATATAGCCCTCCCCACAATCAGTACAGTGGTATCAGGAAGAAAAGCAGTGTTGGCATCTTCAATTGATTGATTCATTTGGAATGTAGTATGGAATGCTTAAATAATCAGTGCCCATCCCTTTACACCTATGCTTCTATACACTTCCTTACATGGTAATGGTAATATTAGCCATTTCCTTATTAGGAAACATTCAGCGACAATGTAGCCATGATGGGTGGGGGTGAAAGAGTGTAGAAAAAAGATTAAATAGACAAGGGCTTTCATTTCCTCCTTGTCGTATGCCTGATAAGGTTTGAAATGTTTCATGTATGGGAGTCCTTGCCAGACATGGAAGTTTTTGCAATCCAATAAAGTTCCTCTATTAGACTGATGAAATCAATGGATTCAGAGCTTGGAAAGCAGTTTCTAATGGATGAGAAGAGGAAGTCTCTATTGATGTGGTCATATGCTGCTGTGAGGTCAACATAGCATACTAGGATACTATTAGAAAGGTATGCTATTTCCTGGAGTTGTTTGATGACATATGACATCATTACATCCCTTACCTAAACCAAACCAAGTTGTGAGGAGCTGACTTTCATAAAACGGTGAGAGCCTAGTTAATATAATGTTCATTAACACTTTCACCACAGATGAAATGCTTTCAACACTGAGGAAGGAGGGCTTGGAAAACTTAACCTTCATAGGGCATATTGAGGGCAAGAGGGATATGAGAAAGGAGCAAGCCAAGTTGTGTGAATGGATGGTGGAACAGGAAGTGGTTAACCTTAGCAAAAGGAGAAAAACTGCTAGGAGCCACATGATCAACTATGTCTGAAGGGACACGGCATATTAGAAGAAAAATTGGTTATCAGATGGGAGGGGGATAGAGAGAATGTACTAAATGAATGGTGGGTGGGAGTAAAATGTTCACTCATTTTTAATATTTATAGAAGTTATAGTTTAAAAGAATTGAATGCATGAGATATTTCATTAAAAGAAAATTGGAAGTGCATTAGTTTTCCACCATACTATTGAATAAGATGGCTATATAGTCAAAATTTAATGAACACTAGTAGGTGGGGTCCTAATAAACTTGGGACAGGAGGAAATCCATAAATTAAGTTGTGATGAGAATGTTTATTTGGAACCCAAGAGTACCAAGCTGATCACAATATTGCAACTTATTGAAATCTGGTAAAACTTTTAAATCAAGTTGATGGCCTTTTGCCTTAAAATGTTAAATGGCACATTTTAGCCAGATTAAGCTGTACAAGAACTATACAAATATTATGCCAGGTCCTAAGTAAATTATAATTCACTGTTTTTTTTTTCAAGCAATTGCTGATAGTAATTGTCATACGGTTAGACTGGAAACCTATCTTTCACTGAATAAAGGCAGTATAAAAGAGAAGTTTGAAATATTTTAAGTATGGATTTGGAGGATAGTAGGAGTAGCTAGTACAAATGACTGATGGAGTATAAAATTAAATATTCACTATCTGGAAAGAATAACAGATTGCTGTCATCTAATGGGATATCTTTCCAAAAAAACATAGAAGAAAATTGTATACACTAAAAACAATGATTAGAAATATTTTTAATTTATAAAAGGTTAAAAAATTTTTTTTATTTTTACATTCTTAAATAAGACAAAAATAAGTAAATAAATGCTAAACTTTTTGTTACCTCAACTTTTTTGCTTAAAGTTCGTTTATACATTTTTAAATGACAATGAAAGTCAATGCTTTCAAATTTCTGAAAGATATTATAAACTGAAAAGATAGATTATCTATATTATACATAAAACAGAGAGTATGGATAGGAATCCAAGAAAATGATAGGAAAACGAACAAATAGGAAACAGATCTTAATCTAACATATTTCACTTTATCAGATTTGTCAGAGATCAAGATAGAAATGATAAAAAATGGTTAAAAGCAAAGACACAGATTAGTTTTATGTTGTGTTAGGCTATTTCATTGCTTAGATACATGTCACATGTATTTAACTAACAGATAATATCTAAATATGTATGGCAAACACTCTCGACACTAAAGTGTGTAAAAGTTAGTAAGATGCAGGAGGATGTTTTGATTGGATACATGTCATGTGTAAGAAAGTAACAGATAATAATCAAATAAGTGTAAGAAAACATTCTGGATGTTAAAGTATGTAAAGATTAGTGAGATGATGCAGGATATTTTGAACAATTTTTCATTAGAGTATATCTCATGTATTTTGTATATATATTGATTTTTATGTATTTGGAAGAGATAAGTTACATTTATGAATAGTGTATCTGTAAAAAAATGATTATGTAATGTAGTTTTTTTAGATGTGTGTCAATAAGTGGTAATGTTGCTATAAATATATTTTCATAATATTTTCTCTTGTTCTTTTTTGATAAGGCTGGCATTGGTGAAATTAAAGTGATGACCTACGTTGTTGCGATGTAATATGGGAGAATTTGAATATTTATCTAAATGTACATCTCTTTTGTGTTCCTGGATGCGGGTCTTTAAATCACAAAGTCTCCCCAATGTACAGGTTATTGCACAGTAGACATTTGACTTGATAAACTCCAACAATTGAATTATTTTTTTTTTTTCGTCCTATTTATATCTCAGATAGATTTGGAGGTGGTTGTAACAATCTTCATATTAGGGATGACTAATTAATTTGTGAGTTTAGTTGAAGTGTTAGAGGATAGGATTATGAATTTTGTATAATATTTGTTGGAAGTATATTTGGTTTTTATGGATTTTTTGTGAGTTCATTTTTTTTTTTTTTTTTATTTGTGTTTAAGATGAAATGGCATGGGTAGTGTAGAAGTTTGAATGTGTTTGCAATATAATCCTCTTCTTCACTAATATATTCAGTGCTCTAAGGTAAAATCCTATGATTATTCCAGATTTTATTATTTATTAGGTGGTGGGAATAGAAATTGATAAGGTGATTTTTGTTAGTGGGTTTACAGTAAAACCATAAATTCTAATTTGTTATTGTTACATATTAATAGAATATCAAGGAAAGGTAGAGTTATTTGTTTCAAATCCGTGTGTGAATTCGATGGTTGGTTCAACTTTATTGAGTTTAGCTATTACATTTAAAAGGTTAGAATCTTGAGGATAAGATAACAGGATCATCAATGTATCTTAGGTAAGTAAAGCTGTTAGGTATGATGTGTTTAAATGTGGTGGATTCTAAGAATTCAAGAATATGGCAAGCAAGAACACCACTGATAAGTGACCCCATGGGTATACCAAATTTTTGTTTGTAGAATATATTATTGAAAGAAAAGGAATAGTGGTTAGTAATTAATTTATATATTTTTATAATTTTGTGGATAAGTAGAGGAAGCTTATCCTTGGATTTATTGAGAGGATTTCTTAGTATATTGAGGCATTCGGTGATGGGCATATTGGTGTATAGTGATTTGATGTCTAAACTAGCCATATACATGTTAGTCATATTTACGTGTTGTATTCTTTGGAGCAAGTCACCCTAATGTTTGGTGTGGGTGTTGTATTGATGGTGCCTAGGAATGGAGTTAGGATTTTAGGGATGCCTAACTAAATTTGGGGTGAATCCTATCCAAAATATAGGAGGAGAAAACCAGAAGATGGAGGTCACATCAGCAAGATCAAAATGAGACAATATAGACATCAAGTTGAGCTAGAAATCAGTCAGCAGGTAGTGCCTTACAATACATATTTGTTAGGACAAATCAACTGTCATATCAATGTTGAAATCTGCTCATCAATTCATTCAATCAAGTATTGCATCAAATACATATCAAAGGTGTCAGATCAAGCTGTTTTTGCACTCCCCCACTGAAAATGTAATTTGAATAAAGGAATGACTTCTATCCAAAATATAGGAGGAGAAAGCCAAAAGATGGAGGTCACATCAGCAAGATCATTGAGCAATACTGAAATACA